TTTACTATTTATTTAAATCGGTAATTTTTTTATTATTCTTTTGTATTATTATATATTATTCTCTTGTTCAGCGTTTCCATATCTATTCTTTTGAAAGTTATTTTCGGAGTTATTCAGTTCCGATTAGGCAAATAAAAAATGATTTTATTTTCTAACCCTAATTATTTATATAATTCAGCTAAGGACCGGATCCAATTAGGAAATCAAATTGATGGAAGACCTGAAAGTTCTATATTTTTTATTTTGTTATTAGTTATTTATCACAGTATGCACGGACTGAAATGCTGCATGCTTACGAGCACATACGTGACATGAAGAAAGCTATTCTATAACTATATAGATGGACCGACATCGTCAGTTCCGTAATTTGGCACAGAAAATGAAAAGAACAAATTATGTCATTAATTTTCCAATACTAAAATAATACCATATGTGGTCTTTAAATTTACTAGAATGATTTGCTACCAGAAATATGTTTGTGGAAATGTTTGATTTGATCGCAATACGAAGAATTTCCAAAATACGAATAGCAATTAGAGCATAAAGAAATTGTTCTTGATAACATTTAATCATTTCAATTGGTGCTTTGAATAGTTTTTCTTTTATATACAAATACAAAACAAATCAGAAATAAATCGAGTGGCAATTCTAAAAAGAACTATTTTTTTAAACTCGGATCGCACACGAACTTGATATCATTTTCATGCACCCACGCCGGCCCGTTGAAAATGATGTATTAATATCAGATATATTAATACATCATTTTCCTTTAATAATAATTTTTACATATCCGTCTTTTGGCCTTCATTGAGGCCAAAAGGCGGCCGGCCAGTCCTATGTATAATAATAATTTTTACATATCCGTCCTTTGGCCTTCATCGAGGCCAAAGGACAGCCGGCCAGTCCTATATAATCCATGATTTTTACATGAAAGTCCGTCCGTTATAGCTTCGCTATTCAAGTGTTGGTCAACTCCTCGATCGTTAACCGCGAAACCACAAGTCCTGCGCAATGTCCCGCACCTATTCACATAAAGCACCTTGTGTTGACCACATTTCAGCTGGAGAGCTTCGTGTAGTTTTCTTCAATGGTTTTCTGGCTGCCTTTGCGTGCATTTTTTTTCAAGTTTGCGCTCATGAGATATGCCGAGTTATACCGCGCTATGATTAATATGCGACAAAAAATTTGTAAGTCTGTCAAGAAGTTTTAATGATATATGGGCATTTTATTTGAATTTGTAAAAAGAACGAAAAAACTAAATAGGTTTTGTTTAATGAATTAAGGATGTTTAATTACGGACCTGGATTAATTAATATTGGCGCGGTTGTAAATGATTAAATATTGAATCATATAGTCCATGTGTCGAACTTTGAGTTAAAAAACTGACCTTCGCACGCTAACTAATTTTTCCACGCACTCAATATTTGCTTAGTGTTTACAATCGTATACATTTTGTAGTGACTGCTGAAACGGTCAAAAGCTATATTGTTTACAATAACCATTGACTTCTACGATAAAATCGATAGCCAGCCTTTCCTGTAGAGATCCGAAAAGATGCATCTTAATTATAATCCTCATGAACCGCAACGAGAATTATTATTAACAAGTTTGTTCGTCTTCGGTATATCTCTAGGCGTACAGAAACCTTATCTAAGTTTTTCTTAATTAATTTTGATTGTCTGTTACTTAAAATATATTTATGGTATGCAAAAGCATTTTGTGGCGTTTTTTGTTATTCATCTCAATATAAAGTGGAAGCCGTCATTTCAGCGCTAAGAATTAGTCCTATTCACTCGTATACAAAGAAACTTAGTCTTCAACCAATTATGTTGCTGAAAAACCCCCGATTTCTGTAATTTCGCCAAGAAAAAGTATTCAACTCTACCTAATCTGAGGAGTATATTTCAATATAGGACACCACGCTAAAGAGGTTATAAGACGCCATCTTTTACAGAAGTCTTATCCCTTCCGCCACATGACGTTGAAACAACGTCGATTAAAGTGTTGAATTCGTCGGAATAACGGTGCACCAACGTTATTTCAACTTCAAATGTCGTTGGAATGCTTCATCTCTACTGAACAGAAGTGTTCACCTCCCATTGCACTGCTAAGCAGAAGCCATGCATCAGAATCAACTCAACACCTCCAGTGAGCCGAAGTCTTTTTCTCGGGTCCCGCCTGCTAAGCAGAAGCCATGCAACAGAATCAACTCCTATCATCTCCAATGAGCAGAAGTCTTCTTTTCAGGTTCCGCCTGCTAAGCAGAAGCCATGCAACAGAATCAACTCCAATCATCTAATGAGCAGAAGTCTTCTCGGGTTCCGCCTGCTAAGCAGAAGCCATGCAACAGAATCAACTCCTATCATCTCTAGTGAGCCGAAATCTTCTTCTCGGGTTCCTCCTGCTAAGCAGAAGCCATGCAACAGAATCAACTCCCATCATCTCCAATGAGCCGAAGTCTTCTCGGGTTCCGCCTGCTAAGCAGAAGCCATGCAACAGAATCAACTCCCATCATCTCCAATGAGCCGAAGTCTTCTCGGGTTCCTCCTGCTAAGCAGAAGCCATGCAACAGAATCAACTCCTATCATCTCCAATGAGCCGAAGTCTTCTTCTCGGGTTCCGCCTGCTAAGCAGAAGCCTCCTGTCCGTGTTACTGTCCAGGCGGGCTGGGGCGAAGGCTAACATGTGTGGACAGGACGCAGCGGGAGGGCGCGTCGGACACCAATTGTCCCAGCGGGACGCCTTTACCTGATGACGCGCCGCCGACACCTCAGCCCAGCGGGCTCCTTATGTACAGCCACGGAGCATGCGCCTCTCATTCAGAACTTCGGTCATGCTCAATGTGATGTATTATTCGGTCAATTATTATTAGTATTAAGGCTTGAATTTATGACATTATTGTGTGAAATTGATTATTTGATCCAATGACATGTTCAGCCACGGAGCATGCGCCTCACATTCAGAACTTCGGTCATGCTCAATGTGATGTATTATTCGGTCAATTATTATTAGTATTAAGGCTTGGATTTATGACAATATTGTGCGAGACTAATTATTTGATCCAATGACCTCATGTACAGCCACGGAACATGCGCCTCTCATTCAGAACTTCGGTCATGCTCAATGTGATGTATTTTTCGGTCAATTATTATTAGTATCAAGTCTTGGATTTATGACATTATTGTGCGAGACTAATTATTTGATCCAATGACCTCATGTATATATATAGCGCCTCACACTCAGAACTTCGGTCATGCTCAATGTGATGTATTAGTCGGTCATTTATTATTATGATTTAGGCTTGAGTTTATGACATTATTGTGTGAAACTCATTCATTAGTAAAATTACCTCTTATTCACAACCAATTAACTTGCGTTTATCACTAGGTATCAGCTTGTAATCTTCAGAAAAAAAAGCCTTCCAAGCTGTTTATTAAATCGAATAAAACTTTCACAAATCGCTTAAGAATTCTTGAACCAAATCTTTAAGTGAATTTCATTTTTGTGGGAAGAAATTACATTCTTGCCAACACTTTTGCTTTATTGATGTCGAATATTGGCAATTAAACTGTTAAACGGCTGTATTGACGTAATGTGAAGCTTCCTCCCTTTCCTTCGCTTAAATCATGCGTTAAACAAAAAAATTCATATTTTTTATCGGTTTTAATCAAATGATCTCTTCGCCAGTTAACAGTTTTTTTCAAGATTCCTTATCTCGGATGGTTTTTTTTCTCTGTACGACCAATATCAGGTTTTTAGATAGTAACATATTCATTTTAATTTACAACCTGTTTGAATCCAAAGTTGACTGTTGAGAATTTTTTTATTGGGTTCTCGATGAAGAATACTTTTTTATAAACTTAATAGATATGAAAAACGGGTGAAAAATATACTTATTTCGTATACCGCAGGGAGAAATAGCAATGCCATGAAATATGTTAAGTCGCTTACCTGTTATATTAGATACACTTTAACAATACACAAGGATCTATTAGTGAACTTGGTCCGATTTAAGAATAAGTAGGTATATCGCAGTACAAATATTGACATCCTGCATCAAATTTCTTTCTCCATACTCATGTGAACTCAATTTTGTAAGCTCGAGTTTCATAACTAATGTTGACAGCATGAATTGAAAAACCTGGAGACTTGAAAACTCATTGAGCTTGAATGACTAAGCTGACATTTGAGCGGAGCTGTAGCATAGACTTGAGTAGATTAAGATAAGGCTCACTATCAGGTGACGTGCTACCCCTTATAAAAACCATTCTGAGATAAGGAACGGGTGATTGTCGCCGATCCGGAAACCTAAAGATACGTGCCGACGACTATGAAGTCTTTGCAGTATTCTGCATCGTTGAATTCCAAGTATTCTACATCGTTGACTTCGCAGTACATAATATGGTATGTAATATTGTATATCGTAGAAAATAAATAGACAGTAATCGAGTAATCGTTTCAATTTCATATGTACCTCACCTCAAGTCATTCCTAGATATAAATAATTTTATATTTATCGGTAAAATCTGTTTACCGAAATTCATTTAATGTCTCAAAAAGATCGAGTCAGTTATCATATTGCTTCAACACAGGTATGGTTTTGTTATGTACAGCTAGCGAAGCTTCAACTTAGTTGCTTTCGAGACAACTTAAATCATTTTTGTTTCCAAGTTGCATTTTTAATCTTTTGAATAATCAAAAGAAATTTGTCACAGTTATTGATCCAACGATGCATGCATAAACCATCAAGTTATGACAGACTTCTATCTAAAGACTGACTTCTGACTTTTATCTAAAGTGCGCCTATGGAAAAGTACACCAAATGATGCATTGAAACTACTAACTAATAGCCACCCATTAAAAAGTTTTCAGCCATTATTTAAAATTTATTCCTTTCCTGACCTTTTTCTAATTTATGCTCTGACAAAATAATTTACAATTTTTTTAACCCCAAGCGGCAATTTTTCAGAATCCGTAGTAAGGAATAATAAAACATATTAGAATCAAATTTTTTAATTTCTTACTCTTAATCGAACAATAACTGAAGTATTGTTTCTTGATTACCTTTCATTGGATTTCTCTGCTCGAGGCATAGAAGTTAAGGTATCCGTAGCTTCTCGACTCGACTTATATGGAACTTAATAATTTTTTTCCAACACAAAGGTTCACAGATGATTAATTGTAAATTTGTACATTTCCATCAAATGTCGAGTCAAACACTCAATTTAATTACTCATAATTTTTATAATTTGGAATAAAATATTCACGTGACAATAAAAACTGCTCTTCGGCTCGAGCACTATTGCTTTTATAATGTCCCTTAAAATTGCATCTCAAGTCGAGGAATTTTTAAATTCATGCTAGGTAGTTGAAGGCACAGAGTATGTACACAATGTATTATCTACAGAACAAATAGATTAACATGGTGGTCGTGATCAAAAATAATACTGCTACTCAAATACTGAGTTGATACATACACACCGCCAAATTTTTTCAAATAATAAAACACTCTCGAATATTTTTAACGTAGAATTTCCGCAATGCATCGTCTTATCGTTTCTCTTGCAGAAAGGTCGGCAAATCAAGCAATGTAATTTACTACAAAAATAGTTATTTTACACAAAAACAAACGGAAAACAAGTGGGAAAAATGTGTATAAATTATTTTCAAACCACAATAAACAATAGACAATTTTCTCGATAATAGACGAATCCGTGAGATGAAAAAATTAACTAGTTAAAAACCAGCGCTAACGAACGATTGTGTTGGTGACGACATATAAGGCGCCTCTCTAGCGTGGCATGAAACTGCTATACGTCCGAAACACATACCAAGGATACAAAAATGGAGTATGCTTTTGCTTTCTAGCTACGATCCCAAATCTTCACAATATGTACAATATTTTTCAACTATTTTCTCAACAAAAATATTGCAAAATACTCATTGTTGTACAAAATATTTGCAACAAGTCCTTAGTGGTAATCATGAAGTCATAGATACAGGAAATGACTTTATTTTCTAGGTACAAAGTTTATTCGAAGCCATTATAAATCCACCTTACGGTTTTCATTCAGATTAATCCTGAGTGTCATCAACATGAGTATAACCATTAACCATTCATGTACATTTATATACAAGTAAATTATATATTTAGCTAAATGTAAACGTCTTCATCCACCGATATTTTTACCTTCTTTAACGCTCATGTTCCATTACAATGTTGGTTTTGTCACAATCATAAAGATAATGCTGATTGTGATCGTTGAAAACTCGAAAGATACATAACCGTTTATTCTTTACGTGGTGCTTTTCACTATAGTTTATTCAACACACATCCTATATTCACTTTGAAAATTGAAGTATTTCACAAACTTGAGCAAAGTAAAGACGAATAAAGAGTTTTCTTTTCATGCGAATTCAGCTATCTTAAAAAGTTGCAAAAATGTTTTCAAAGTTATAAAATTTTAATGAATGTCTTATATTTCATGCACGATTACATGTACTACATTACAGTCATGATATGAGCCTGTAGTATTTTGTTTCACCGCAGTTTTTAGACGTGGCAGGATTGAAATCTACGTAGTCAGCGACTTGATGTGAAATTAAAAGGTTGAAATTGTTTGCTATTAAAATTTCGCATCGTGAACGTATTTGCCCATGACATTTGAAAAAATTCACACCCAATTTCTTTCACGAAATATGAAAGTTGACCATATGAAACGAATTCAAGTTTTACTAAGCGTAAGTTTGTGGGATGTGTTGGACGCATTAGTAGATAACCCGGCAGATGAATTACTAGATGAACTGTTGTTGCTACTAGTAGAAGCACATGGTGAAGATGCATTATTGTTGTGATTGTTATTCAGGGATGGACTGCTAGAAATTAAGGTGGTGTTATTGTTATTATTTCCGGGAGCTGAGTTGGGTCTTGAGAGGTTGTTAGATGGCCTTGTTTTATCGGCTGGTCCACCACCACGACGCTGCCCGCCTCGGCTAGGAGGCGCTGCTGCTGTAACAAGGAACGGTAACAAGACTTTAGTGAGGGCCTTTGTTGTGTTATACATTTCCCATACTCGCCAGACTCTAGCGTATTTTAACTTTTTCTCTCATTGCAACTTTAAATTTTTAAATTGAGCTTGGGTTACACAAAATGAAGTTTCGAAAATTTTATAATAGCAACGTTCAACTGTTTTAGTTAATGGAATTAGCATTTTAAAAGCTGTTATTCGGATCAATTGTGTAATTTAAAAAATTGTTTTGACTTTAATCATTGTTATCATTATGATATGAAGGTTTATAACTAATCTATTGATCCAATTGTTATTTTTTGTGATAGAAATTGTATTTTAAATATCTTATTCATGATCTGAATGATCTTTGATTCGTGAACTTTGCTGAATAGTCTCATTGAACTAATTTAGAAGATCAATTCATTATGAAAGTAATGTATGATGAATTTGCACGAATGAAGTAACGAAATTATTTATTGAGTCTGGCCGAGCGATATGGAAAAAGATTTTGAAGGTGAGGGGGCGAGATGGAAGTAAATCCAGTTAATTTGAAACAGTCACCAAAATTGAAGGAGAAAACCCATGTATTTTAGTCAGAGTATTATTTTCGATTAAGACATTTGCTGTGATCGGGAAGAATTTCATCTGCAATATGAATACCTGTCATTTAAATGATAACTTTAATTATTGATTGGTTATAGAAACTTCATTAAAACTCTCCAAGATTCCATAAAAATGCGAAAATTTGTTGTTATACAAGTTTAATTTTCCCAACTAATCGTATAACTTTTTGTCGCTCGCCCCCCGACCTTATTCGCCTCTCACACAAAGCGTTGTTAAAGTTCTTCCTGAGCATTTCTCCCCCATTCATTTTGGACTGTTCATCAGAACTGGTTTGTATCTACTTTCTCATGTGAATATAAAATTGCCATCAAGCTTTTGAACTTGAATTTCGAAGGGAGGTCTATCAGTTTCCATCAGCCCCTCTCACCTTCTTGATCAATTTCAATACTGGGTTATTAAGGATAAGTGACAGCACGGGCGAAAAATCCAATCAAATTACATACCATTGTCGAATGTCGTTACTTCAGCCGCCTTAAGTTGCTACTGCATAAAAAAGTAAAAAGGAATAGTCATATTAGCCTAAAACTACTTCATTTAAATAACTTTTAACATGTAGGTATGCCTGAGACGTTCTTTAAGACAGACTATCAACCGATTTTCTCCACTTTTTGCTACTCAAGTCATACTCTTAAGAATGATTTATAATGTTTCAAGTGATGAATAAGCATGACATAATTCGACATACTACGTTGAAGATCTCATTAAATACTATCAGTGATCTCAACTTAAGTTTTCTCATTACATATGTTATACTTAACAGCTTCCTAAACTCGAATACTTTAATAATGCCGCTAACTTAATGGAACGAAAAGTTCTATTTAATCAAATAATGCTTACAAAACATTCAAATTCTGATATTCGGGCCTTATTATGTTCCTATATGGTACAGAGACATCCGTAAAAAAGAGGTAGTTACGTTAATACCTGACAGCGAAAGAGTTGCATAAAATTAATACACAATTTTCACCTTGACTTCATAAAAATACAGACTGCCTCACTGAGCCTATTGGACATAGTAGGTACTGAAATAATTAATTATGCACTTTGAAAAAATTATGTCATACGAAAATCATTTTTCAATATATGAATGAGACGGTGGGACGGATGATGTTCATAAGAAAATATGAAATATGATAGTCTTACTATTAACAAAAAATAAATTTGAAAGAAACATTGAAACCTTTATTTCCCTGTAGAATTGAATATAAATACAAATTTGAAATGTTAATAACATAGAGAAAAATGCTCACTAATATGATACCCCAACAGTTGACACAAGTAAGACGATATTATTCAATTGTGAAGGACAGTGTATAAGTTAATATTATATGTATTGTGCTGCAATATTGAACAAAACTGCAAAGCTGGCTCAATGTTACCGTTACAGTCTGGCATGTCATCTTTCAGTTTTTTCATTAACATTTATTTTAAGGCATAATAATGAATTTCTGCACAATCATTTCCTAGGATAAATAATAGAAATATTCAAGGGAAATAAGCAATCATTATTAAAATAACTGTAACTAGCTGCTGGGACGCATTTAATGCCCATCAAAATATAGATATTTGTACTGGATGTGATTGCAGTAATATTTTTCAATGTCTGACATAGTACAATAAATCATAATTGTATGAATGTAACTAAATCATTCGGCTTTAGTCTTAGAACCATCGTAGACCCATGAATTTGTTTTAAAGTTTTATAACAATTGCATTTAATGTATCACTCTAGAAAATATAAATTATTTACAGTTTTAGTTAATTTGTGTTCAAGTCTTAGTGAGTAATTTTCTCAACAAATTTCCATATTGATAAACAACCAAAAGTGAATCAGAAGGGGGTAAGTGTGTGCTAAATATACGTTGTTAAACATAAAAATATTTACGAGTACTATAATCATGAATTTCCAATATCATCTTTTCTGTACATAATCATTTTAATGCATTTAACAAAGTGTATTTTCATTGAACGCCTGACGCCTAATAATCCACAGCTGCCCATCTTTTCAATTAAGTATTTCCTAGCACGTCAATTCCAGCTGTCTAGGGGCGGCAAGTATTGCTACTTACCTCAATGATATATTATGTCAAGAACAGTAATTTTTATGCATCAATATCGATTCAAATCGACTATTTCAGAAATTGTAATATGACAAGGGTCTATATTATTGAGCGTTAGGAAAACAAGGGCAACTCACCTAATCGATGTTGCCTGCCTGTTCTCGCTACCACCCTAACCGCCCCCTTGCCTCCCACCGTCTCTCTTCATTTATTCAATTACATCACATGAACTTAAACTCATAAATGAACTGATTTCTTGATCATTTATAAGTAATCCTCTTATTTTTTAAGTGTATAATTTAAGGATACTTGGCAAAGATAACCAGGGGTGTCAGTGAGTGGGTTTAGCTTTGCGTGCGTGACGGCCGCTTGCTCTTGGGTGACTTATGATCTACCGAACCACGCTGATGAACCAATCAAAGAGAAGAATAGCGACTGGCAGTGAGACTAGCTAGGCACGTATCGATGTCGCTAGGTGTCGTAAATTAACGCAAACGTATCTGAATTATCACACTGCAAGCACCTCCCACTATTTTTCATTTTTCACTAGAATAAGGTGGATTTTCGTTGGCGGATCATAGGCCATAAAGTGGTCACCGGAAATCCTGCCAAGATTCTTGATAGTGTTGACTTTTAATTTAGCCTGTGGTGCTTCCCTCCCTGGCTATGCCCTTCTACTCCAACCTTCCTGCCTTCCCTATGCTTTTAATTCATCAAATACAGAGGGCTTTGTCCCTGCTGTATTGATATGAAGGCACACAGTCTGGTAATTGTTGAGGGTAAATAACTTGAATTTGATATCATCAGGATGATGCCTTATCTAATACTGTCTTCATTATGAACGTAAATTTTGGCACAATTCGCTTCTTACGTAGCACGTCTGCTTAACTTTTTACAATGAGGTGGCACTCAATGGCAAAATTCATCAGCAAAGATTTGCTCACACCAAAGGTTTCAGATCGGGGGTGGAAGGGGAGGTGGGAGTAGGGGGCGCAGGGGGGGAGCTGATAGAGGCAGGGGAAGAGGCAGAAGCAGCTTCACTATGGCTGTTGTCACTGTCTTCGCTGCCATCGCTGTTCTTCTTGCCACCGACGCCACCTCCGCCACACGCATTATGAGTCTTGACGTGCTTGCTCAGGTGGTCGGACCTCATGAATCGCTTGTTGCACACTGGGCACGCAAACCGCTTCTCACCTGTGTGCGTTCGAAGGTGACGTTGTAGTTCATCAGACCTTGTGAACCTTTTGCCACAAAATAGCCAGTTGCAAACAAAAGGTCTCTCACCAGTGTGCCAACGAAGATGAGCCTTGAGATGTGAAGTCTTTCCGTACACCTTGCCGCAGCCTGGGATGTGGCAGGAGTGTATATTCCTCTTTCGTAGGTGTGCCCCCGCAGGGCCCAATCGATCGGCTTCCTGACAGTTGGGACAGTCACACGTTGCTCGCCCCGTGTATCGACGTTGCGACCTCGGAGATGGTACTTGGGGTAATGACGGTTGACCCAACGTGAAGGGAGCTCCCATTCCTCCACCCATCCCTTGCCCCGGCAACATAGACTTGTAAGTGTCTTGAAATAAGTGCTGACCTGACGATAAAAGATGAGCTGTATTGGAAGCAGCTAAAGTGTGAGATAGAGTTGAGTAATCGCCGCCAGGGTAGTTCATTTGACCCATACCAGCCACGCCAGATAAACCTGACGCTGCCGCTCCCGACATGTCGAGCCAAGATCCAGCTGCCGCGCTGTGTACATCCCACCATGAGCTTGCAGTATTGAATGTATTGACTGCCGACACTTCGGGTTTTATAGCTGATGAAGCTACCGAATTGAAAGGCCACGACTCATAGGGATGCACCCGAGAATACATTGAAGACATAGCTGGAAGTTCGGCTTTGGTTAGCAAGTCTTGTCCTCCAGAGCTTGTTGCTGGAGTGAGATAAAAATCTGATGCCTGAGGATAGCTGCACGCAGCTGTGGTTGTTATCGCGGTCCTCTGATAGTTTGCTGTTGTGGAATTCGTTGAAGCGGCAGAAGGCGGCCTTTGAGGAGCCGTTGTCGGACTCGCTGGAACAGGAGTTGTAGATCCCGGACTTTTCTTCCATGGATGGAAGCCTTTGCCGACAGCGGCGTCTGCTAGAGGAGGCGGACTTTTGCTTGTCAATTTGTTGCATTGAGCAGCCAGCATGGCTAGAGGAGTGCCACGCAGGGATGGGTGATCCTGCAACAAAGAGAAATATATTGATTAGCTTGAAAGCAATTCGAATAAAGGGAATTTCACCTTCACTTTTATTGTATTTGTTGCAACTTGAACAAACAGCACAAGAATAGCTCGATTAGTTAAGGATATTGATACACAACTGAATTGTACTGATCAGTCTACTGAATACACCATTTGTCTTCATGCTATATTCTAAGCCGGTTTCTATCTTTTTCTAATCTATTATTGACTGAAATGTTATGAGAAATAGAAAGTAATTATTGATGCAGTTGCACTTTAATGTTGAAACGAAAACAGGCGGAAAATTGTCTGTTACGAATTTTAACCAACTTGTTCAGCTTTGGTACGTTTCTGTTGCAATTCGATTGTGTTTTAATTCAAATTTAATAGAGATAGCGTCGGTTATGCGAGTTGTTTGAGCTTACCTCTTGATAGATCATCATCATGATTGGTGTATATAGTAAAAACCACTTTAATAATAATTATTATTATTGTGATTATTATTAGAGACCACTTTAATACGTGGCAGTTATAGCGCTACTAGTAAACAAATAATACACGTTGGTCTCTCTGAATTCAGGATTGTTCGCAATATCAAATCTAATTTTCACTCTCTTTTCATCGCACTGTTTCCAAATAAAATTTTCTTTTTTTAACTTTCAGTGACTTATTAAATCACAACTCGCTACCGTAAGTTAAACAAATAACTCTGACATTTTGAATTTGTTATTGTTACTATGATATTTAGGTCACAATCTTTCAGTGTTATAACAATAATTATGTCTCTTTGAATTGAGGCTAATATCTCAATGATTAACTATGTCTCTGAGAGTTATGATGTATAGGATCAATGATAGACGCGAACACTGTGTCCGCTTAGCACACCTAACCTCACAAGACTGGCGACATACGCCACCGCGTTCAGTCATAACACAATCCAGTGTTTAGTGTCCAGGTAATGTTGCTCCCACTAATTTCACCTGCCTGCCTCAAGTTGCCACGCCTTCTTACCAAAACATTCCTGAGTTTCAGTGTAATTTGTTCCCATTTATCCTCAAAAACCATGCTCCCTACTTATCCACCCTACGTACCTCGCTCACCTATCTTACATACTTATCCTATCTATTCATCGTACCTACCTACCTAAGTTATAACACGGCAATGGTCACTCCGAACACTCGTCGGCCCGCGCTCGCTCTCGCCAGGTAGCCATTTATATTTAATTAATACCTATAGCCACGACGAGTGGGCTTGATCGGCGCAGACTTACTGTGAGCACCATCCTCTTATACAGGTATTTTGCCTCGACCGCCGATGTGAATTATGGCTGTCATTTCCTACATCTCTTCTTCGCGACGATTTGCCCCCTTATTGCCAATCAAATTCGACCCGGAAATTTGCCACTTTCCATCACGGGACTGTGTAACGATCTTGCGTGCCGTGGTTCAATAATAAATTCAGATTCAAAGAACATTAATATTAATTGGTGCTTACACATTCGAATAAACCTAAGTAATCTAGATTAAAGTTAGAGCACAGGAGCGGCAAGGCGTAGATAACGGCTTGTTGAGCAACGATGACTCCTAAAAGGAACAAAGTCTATTTAACGAAAAGTCTATTTAACGACACTGATAGGAAAATAAATCCTCAATACAAAATAATAACACCCTAAGCAAAACGATAAGACATGAGTACAGCATCAACAGATACAGTAGAGGTTATAAAGAAACTATAACATTATGAGTACCTCCGCTGTTTCTGAACACAAATTCGTGCACTTAACCCAAAGGCAAGTTCGCATTAGCAGACTGCTACGGGATCGTCAACCCGCTCTCCTATAATTCTCCATTCACCACATTGGTCCCTTCAATCTTTTTCTTCATATCGTTGTCTAAGAAATCCCGAATAAGATCCCTACAGACTGAATTAAATTGAACTTTGGTTCTCAGCTTGTGCAATACTGGTTTGACCCAATGTGGACTTATGTTTGGAAGTTAGAATCCTGAACAATTAGACCAAATTATTGTCCAGATTTCTTATGAGTACGATTGCGCAATTCAATGCTAAGATTGAACGATGAAAATAATTCATGGGATACCCGAATGTTTACTATGTAGAAAATTATAAGAATGCCTAACATTTGATATCCATTGAATATTACAATAATGAAAAATAATGTTATATGAAGCCAATTAGACGATTTTGCTTGTTTCGCATGGGTTTTGTTACTAATTATCAATTAAAACGCATTTATTACTCATATTTTTCAAACTGCCAGTAAGTTTTCTAAATGTTTCTGTTGACGGAGATTAGCACTTTAAGTAGAATTTTGCACAAATTGTGATCCTAGATCGCATGACAAGGCATAAAATTTATTTCTGATTTATATTCCTCATTCAATCATTCACTCGGCGATGTATGGCCAAATATTTTTATCTTTAGAATTACCATTTCAAGTGTTTAAGTCAATCTATTTGTGGCGAAATTTGAATGCGATTTCGGAAAAGCTACTTCCTTCAGAGACAACATTGCACGGCTGAGGCATTCAAGCACATGGCTGGCCCATAAGATTTGTTCTTTTCCTCTGGTCTGGCTGATGTGTAACTGCCTTTAGGATGGGTCCCTAATTACAAGGGCTGTTGTCGTAATTGCTAGAACCTTTTCTTCAAGAACGTCTTAAGATGAAAAATCCTAAGGCACCTTCTCCAACTTAAACGCACGTTATAGGTGCGTATTACGAGTCTCACAACTTAGTGCTCTACCTGATGCGAACTGAATTATTCTGCGCTTAAATATTAAACGCGTTGCTTAGGCTTACGTTGCTTAGGCCGAAGTTACAGAAAGCGTGCCGAACCCAAATGTCCATCTCTATAAATTGCAAATTATGTCACTTGGACTCTTGTTCTTCGAAATACTTGAATCCGTATCTGATGTCAACTGAATTATGCGGCACCTGAAAATTTTAATACTTTTGCCTATGCTCCTTGTATAAACTCTTTCTTCAAACTCTACTCAATAAAGCATTTATGCATGACATTGCGTGTTGCCGGTTGTTCCTCAAAATACTTAAATCCATATCTGGGGTCAACTGAATTATGCGGCACCTGAAAATTTTAATACTTTTGCCTATGCTCCTTGTATAAACTCTTTCTTCAAACTCTACTCAATTAAGCATTTCTATATGCATGGCATTGCGTGTTGCTGTGTGGATAGTTCCGTCGTGTGGTAACGCGCGCGTTATTTCGTACAAGTCTGCAATTCAAACACTGGCAGACAAGCGAAAAAGTATGCCGAGTAAAAAAAGTATAGGAGCAGCGTAAGTCAATATTAAATCTTGAGCTATACTTGTTTTAAGCATAAATTTCTTTTAAGCATAAGCACTTATTTTAAACATAAATAAAAATAAAGCAAACACTGACAGACAAGCGAAAAAGTATACCGAGTAAAAAAAGTATAGGAGCAGAGTAAGTCAATATTAAATCTCGAGCTATACTTATTTTAATCATAAATTTCCTCGTATATCTTATAATGGAGATCATGTGTAATGCGACAAAAATTTCTCGTTCTCTTCTGATTTTTTTTTCATTTCGTGTAATGTTTCGTTTCGAACTTCACAAATTTTATAAAATATTTGCCAGATATTTATGTAAATGTATGAGCTTATCCTATTATGAAAACTTCAACCTCCTAGTGGAAATGTGTGAATTGAGTATCAATAAATTAAAAATATCATTGGTTAGCATTCAACAAATTAAATAATTCAAACAACTTGTACGGTTTGTTACAAGTTTTTTTTTTTGTGTAAAACATAATGGGGAGCATTTATTTTAAATTACAAGGAAAGGTTTGATAAAATTTATTACGAATGCGGCTTGTAACCATAATAATATAATGGAGATGATAACGTTGCATTTCTTATCCTGATGAATTTTGCATTTCGCACGATTGTTGTTTCCTGACATAGACGTTGATGATATAAATAATGTTCTCGTATCTACAGCTCAACGCCAACACTTGATGCTCGAATGTTAAGTTGCATGTGCAGGTGTTTGTTATCCTGCTTGTCGGGAATCATGTCTGCAATTGGTGGAAAATAACAGCATACTTCATGTCCACTCTTTTATCTGTGAACATAAAAATTAGCATCAAAATATCTATTACTGATCTGCTCGTGGTAAGACCTCAGAGCATAATAACAGTAAGTCAATAAGTGTAAAAATATTACGATATAACTTTTCGGGAAATGCGAAATATATTTAATTTTTCTTGAGTGCATAACATCAAGTCTTCCGACAATTACATAGCATTGTCTCTGTATGTTATAGTAATTTAATATCATAGATTTTTCTAGAAAAATGCATAAAATGTTGAAGAAAGACATGTTTATTTCCCAATTTCAGCTGTTCATTTTTCTAGAAAAATGCATAAAAAATTGAAGAGAGACATGTTTATTTCCCAATTTAAGCTGTCCATTTTTCTAGAAAAATGCATAAAAAGTTGAAGAAAGACATGTTTATTTCCCAATTTCAGCGGTCCAATTTTATAAGCAAATGCTGTAAAATCGTGGAGGTGCTAACACATAGTTGAACAAGTGTGAAGCTATAAGAGACACACGAGAGCCTACACAAGACAGAGCAGCCGGTCGACTCAGCCAGCGACGCCGGCCGACCAGACTCAGCGCTACCCTATCATTAGGCATAATAGCTCAGGACGCCCGCGATACGCGATTGGACACGGCAGCTATACGGTCGACAACTCTACCGCACCTGCCTATACGGCCGCTCTTAATACGGTCAGAAGTCCGCGACACGGCAGCTATACGGTCGACAACTCTACCGCACCTGCCTATACGGCCGCTCTTAATACGGTCAGAAGTCCGCGACACGGCAGCTATACGGCCGCTCTTAATACGGTCAGAAGACTGCGACACGGCAGCTATACGGTCGACAACTCTACCGCACCTGCCTACACGGCCGCTCTTAATACGGTCAGAAGTCCGC